CGTTCTAATGTAGGAGAGCGTTTCAGAAAAAAATATAAATTTCTTAACCCAAACTTTTATACCCTGAACAAATTATATTAACACCTAGCAGGAAACGTCAGATATCCTATAATATATATATGTATACACACTAGTATAAATGATTAGCGTGACGAGCTGAGTCGATTCAGCTTTTTCCGTTTGTCTATCTATATGCGAGGGACTAGCCTCAGTTTTGAGATATCGCTTTGAAACTTTGCACACGGCTTTTCTCCCCAAGAAGTTGCTCATTTGTCGGATCAGACCACTTTAGCAAATGTCTTCAATACAAACTGAACGATCAAAATCAAGTCCTTGTATGGAAATCGTTTTTTTGACAAGATATATTCACGAAATTTAATATGCGTCGAATTTCGTGAATATATCTAAAGCAACGGTACAATATCCTAAAATATTGTTCAGATCGGACCACTATAACATATAGCTGCCATACAAACTAAACGATCAAAATCAAGTTCTGTTATAGAAGCATTTTTATTGCTGAAGGGTTTAAGCTTAACCGAAGTTAACGTTTTGTCTTGTTCTATATATAATTAGCTACATATACAACCGGCAATATGAGCTACTGAAAATATCCTACCGTATGAAAACCAACGAAATGTAGCCTCAACGCAAAGCCAGTGGCCCCAAACATATTGTGCGTGCTTTGCATAGCCAAATTACAAATTGCCAATAATATAAAACAAAAACAACAAAAAAAAAATCAACTAACAATAAATTCTTTTGACACGCATATTTTGGGCGTACACGCTTTTGGTTTGAATCGGCAGCGCGGAAAGCAAATGTACAACAACACAACAAAAAAGTTACAACAACAAGCAGCAATAAAAATTGATTATTTATTTACGCCAAATGAATACCGAGAACTAATTTGCACATGAGCAAATATTTATATGTACATACAAATGTATGTAAGTATGTATGCACAGGTAAAAAAGGTGAACATATGTGTTGGTATGACTGCAAGTACATACATATGTACACAATATGGCATCATTAAATTGTAGAATTGAAATTACCGGCAAATAATTTTTTATGTATTTTATTGCATTTTTTTTTAATTTCCTTAAATTTATTTTGAAATAATAAAATTTTTGTTTACTTTAATTTTTTTTATCGATTTTTTTAAATTTTATGTGATTTTTTTTATTATTTATTTGCGCGAATTTGTTTGAATTTTATTACACTTTTGTATACAAATGTCGTTGTAAGTATGTATAACCACATAAATAAATAGTTATGTACATATATAATACAAACAAGAGATCATTGACACTGATTCGCATTGAAACAAATACTCAGCCTTTTGTGCTTATGCGCCTTTGTAAATAAGTTTGTGTGTGCCTATATGTACATATGTATGTATGTGCTTTTACTGCCACTGGCAGGTGCTGGTGTGAAAAACTTTTTCAATGGCTACACAATTTTGCAAAGAGCATATGTAGCTAATTATGAATTCATTAGATTTATAAAATTTCTTATATATACACACATACCTATATACAATTATATACATATGTACATACTCAAATATATATATACTCACACAACAAACTTCTTCAAAAAATGAAAATTTCTCTCACAACTATTTGCAAATGGCCAAGACTATGAACTTTTAAATTCAAAATTTGGTTATTTGATTTCAGATTATTTTCAATTCAACAAAAACAAAGAAAAAGTCATTAGCGTTAGAAAGCGGAACGAAGTGACAAGTCCCAGATTTTTGAAGAATTTATTTAGAATTCTTTTGGTGACCTAAATAAGACAAGTAAGTGAATTGGGGTAATACTGGCATGCATATATTACATGCATAGATATTTCAAGAATTTTTTGGATAAATAAACAAAACGAAGAAAAAACTTAAAATTAAAATAAAATTTTATGGAAAAAATTAATAAAAATATAAACATAAAAAAAGAAATATTTTAGAAAAAATAATAGAAAAAATTAATAAAAATACAAATATTTTACGAAAAAAATTAAGAAATTGTGGACATAAAACTGATGTGTATAAAAGTCAAACTTTCTTTGGAGTGAATGGAGATATCATGAATAATGAATTAAACGGTGAAATATATTTATCACGATTAAGTTTTTAACATATCAAACAAAATATATAACATTTGAAATAAATTTGACCTTGTAACCAATATTGTATTACTGAACCTGTTTTGAAAAAAAAAATAAAACAAAAAATTTCCAAACAAAAAAATTTAAACACGTGGCAATATTTTTCAAAAATAACAGCGTTGGAATATCTTTTTAAAACCTTATCATTTTGTTGTTGATTTAAGTTAAAAAAATTACAGGTGGCAACTCTCCGGAAAATTTTTTATCAACAGAAATACACGCTAAGCCACTTTAGTTTACTATCCATATTTAGTAGTTTTTAAAAATAATTTGTCTTTGTAAACAATATCTTATTACTGAGCATATTGTACGAGTAAAAATAAAAAAATAAAAAAATTCTGAAAAGAAAATGTAAACAGGTGGCAGCAATTTACGAAAATATCAGCGAAGAAATCTTTCTTGAAACTCTAAGTCCACAGCTTTTTTAAATTAAATTTTTAACAGGTGGCAACTTCCCGCAAAATGTATGCTCAACAGAAAGGCACGCTAAGCCTCTTTAATTTGATGCCTATGTTGTAATATTTAATTTATTCGAACAATTATTAGTAATTTTTTATATGTTTGTGAACTGTTGCCAGATGCTTAAAATTTTGAAGTAAACTGATTTATTATAATTTTTTTTATTTAATCATTATAAAGCATTTTCGAATATTAATAATTATTATTTTATATTTAATATTTTTTCTAATTTTTTTGCTGATTTAATTTTTAAATAGATGGCAACACTACATATACACAAAATTTAAACTCTGCAGTTTGATGCGCTTCTTTATCTTAATTTGTATTAAAAATTCGACGGCGTTGATTATATTTTTTGGCTTTTGGCTTTAACCCATAGGAGCTTCACACCGAAGACTTGAAAAAATTACACAAATCTGTTCAACATTCAGTAATTACTGGCAACATTTTGTCTAATTTATTATTGTGACAAAAAAAAAATATTCACTCCAACAAAACAAGCTCCAAACACGGGTATGTTATATATTTTTTAAGAGATAGAATATCATAAATTTGGGAACAAGTTTCTAGTCCTCGTGGTCCTCGAGTAGAGAGTCTCAATATTAATTTAGAGTCAACTACCTATTCTCGCTATAAAATGTGAGCTATTCAGTCCTGGCTCCGACTAACATGCAATTTATATTTATATAATTTACTGTTGCTATTTCTTACTCTTCGAAAATGAAACTAAATTTCCCTGTGATTGCCTTGGCAAAATATTTGTAGTGGTGGAATCTATGTAAATCCGCTAGACTGCTGTTGTGAGTAAAGAATTGTACAACGCTATGCTGACGTTGATGCCATCCAAACGGCGACGACCGCCATCCATAATATTCGTTTTTTAATAAAAGTCCTGAAACTTTTGAATTGCTCCTTGTATATACCCCATTTTGTACAAATCTCAACTAAAATTCCATATTTTTTGTGGGTTTTTGGTCGTCTACATTCGAATTCTTATTTTTTTTTATCTATTTGGGTTTTATTATAGCCCAATTTCTATGCTATACCTCAGCTATGGAGACCACAGCAGGAGTGTATATTCTTATGGAATATTCTATTCACTTGACTATAAGTTACATCACTATTCAAATTAGTTATCGATTATGAATACAAGTACGCAAAATCGACTAAGCAGATCGTAGCTTTCCTCCGAAGCTTGAAACAGTAGTCTTGCAAGATCACAGAGAGGTAGAAGCATATCTTTGTAGAAATTGATGAATTTAGACTTAAGTAGAGTTATTATTATCTAGAACCTATGTTGACAAGCCAATCTGCAAAAAACTTGAAAAAAATCGACTGAAACTTATTTTTCAATGAGTAATAATTTGGCTGCTATTTTGAAAAAGACCCATTCTTTTGATTTTTTTTAAGCTGTCATCGGATATTGCAGCCTATAAATGTGCTTGGCAGGCCACAAGTACAGAAAAAGCTTATCAGTTATCGAAAAATCTACTAAAATATGAAGTTTGCAAGATTTTGGCAATGTTGAGATGGCTTCACTTAAGCGAGTAGGCTTCAAATGTCGTCTCTTCTTATGTCTTTTCGATAGTGCCAATTCAAAGCATGACTATAAACATACATATGCGCAGGCTTATACTATTATAGTATCTTTCCCCAAATTTATATATTTTCGTTACGCGTTTCTCGCCACCTCTACCACCTGCCCGTCTGCTAGCAATGTAGACCAAATGAAATCCGAGTATTTATAGCGTATGTTAAGCAACGCGAAGCTAACACGTTCGTAGACGACGAGAACTTTCACCAGATTACAATTAAAATAATCTAGTTTTCGATTAGCCATGCCACAGCGGTAAAGAAGTGCAGCCAGAAAGTGCGCATATAAGTTACACTTAATGAGCGGCCAAGCGCGCAGGCGCACAGACGCACAAACGGCTTTCAATTGAAGGTGCGCAAGACCGCAACGTAAAATGCTGCTGGTTGACCGGTTTGCAAGAGGACACCAAAGAGAGAAATAATAATAAATCACAGTGCAGTCGGCGCACAGTGTGTGAATGCAGGAAGAAGAGATGGCGGGGCGGCAGGCACGGGTAACAAGTGTGTATGAGCTACGAAATGACCAATGCAATGCATTATTGCGCACATCAAAGACATGATGTGACTTTCGTGGCGGTTTAGCGAGTTTTTGTTGTTGTTTTTTCTTCGACGTTTACATTTTGCTTTTAATTTCTTAATTACAAATATTGTTAGTTGAAAGTTGACGGCAGAAAAATATGCGTAAAGGAAACAACACTTAATTATGACAGCAGATAACACAAGAAAATCAAAAAAAAAACAACATCAAAAACCAACAACAAATACGTCAGCTAACTTACCATTAAGCGCAAATTAATTTTGTATGGCAATAATTTGTTGATTATGCGCGTAGATATACGCCGCAGGAGGCTGTTGAGTTCAATTTCGTGTTTCCAAGTCGAAATTGATTCAAAACTGTCGATCAGTCGAAAGAAAGTGAAACTTATTAGCATACATTTTTGTTGCTTTTGTTTTCGTTTTTTTTTTCTCTTTCTTTCTTTCTTGTAGCTTTATGCCATTAAATCTTCTGACACTCTTATTTATATTCCGCTTAGTTTTGACTACGAATCCGGTATGTTAATGAGGCTGCTGTTGTTGTGCGTTGAGCGACAGGTTTCTCATTGGTGGCGTGTAGCTGGTTTCGCATTGATTTTGTTGAGCTACAGATATGTGTGTATTATGCACATATTTTACTTGACTATTTCACTTTAATAACAATCACATACTGGCAAAAGCTTCTCTCTGCTCAATCACGATTTTTATTAGTCTTCTAAGGTATGTGTTTTCTGCACGCTTTTTCTTTTTCTATGGAAAATTTTTCGCAAATGATTATGTCGAGTGAAATTTTTTACTATAGTGGCTTAAAACTGCTTTACATAAGCCAGATACAGTTTCAGTAACTGCTGTGAATGGTTAAACCGAATTTTTAGACTAGAAATAGAAATAGAAAGAAATAATTTAGATAAGTTAAAAGACACATAATTTTTATGCAAAAAAAGTGTTTATAGCATAATAGAAAAATTAAAATATTAGCTACATTGAAATCAACTCAAACTTTAAAACTTGAGTTATACAGCCTAAATGTAGGCCACAACTTTTGATCCCAAAATAAAGAACCTAAATATTAAAAATATATAATAAGTTAGGCATTGCTTTTAGTGAAACATTATATTTAGTTAAGCAAAGAGACATAAAAGCTTAATTTTTAACATTGAAATTTAATGTAACACCCTAAAGGTAGGCAACACTTTGTAAACGCAAAACAAGCAACACTATATACATTATTGCCTACATTGAGGCGCAGCGTCAAACTTGAGTAGCTTAATTGCTACATTCCACAACATTTTTTGTCACGACATATTAATAAATAATGTCAAACATTAGCATCGAGGTCTGGTAACAAAATATCCGATCTTCGAACAGAAAAAATTGCATTTTTACGCGTCAACTCTCTGAAACAAAATATCGTTCAAGTCTGTCGCATGAATATTTCAAAACTCGATAGAAGTACAAGCAGCTCGTCGATACCATTTAAATCGACAAGTAACTTCATGAAAAGTCGCATAAGACAGAAATTTTCAAACAAAACGAATATTTGTCGACCGTCATACAAGTCATTAATAAAATGACGGAAATGTCTGTTATAACAATCGTCATTTTAGGATTATAATTTTGCTTCTTCTACATTGGTTCGGTAACTGCTTAGGGGATTTGAGTTTTGCAAAACGAAAGAGACCTTAGATAGATAGTACCACTTCGAATACTTTCAGAGCTGGAATGTAGACGCCGATTCGAATAGTGTAACTGATCTGGAATATCTATCGTCATTCTTAATCTCAGCATTCTACTATTTTCTTAGAATTTTTATTAGAGCGGTTTCTAGAATTCATCTATAACTGCGAAATTATAAAGATGGACTGGCCAGAATATATTATATATTTATTTAGGCTCCCTCAGCAGGGCCATCCAATCTAGCTGATTTTTTAGCTGCAGAAACTCTAATCAAAAATGTTGCCAGTGTGATTAAATTGTGTTGGATATTAACGATATATGTAGATTTTTCCAGGTCTACAGCGACACCTATTAAGAACAAACGCTTCAAAAAACCGTGGAAAAAATATTGAGAAACCAAAGTAATAGCTGTCAAGGTAGATTCATTCAAAGCGAATATATTTTTGTCTTCTCCCCAGCCTGTAATATATAATATATGCACTATTAGCCTCATTTGCGCTTTACCGTTTCTCTATTGTTACTTGAACTAAACCGATTTCATTTGGCGACTTTTTGAAGTTAATGAAAGATTTCCAGTTGAGATCCCATTTCCAGTTTTAAAGGAACTCGCCGAGTCTAAAAAATATTATAAGAGAACCCATACTTTGGGCAAAATTATAAGAACGTTGCATGCGACGATGTTTGTAACACCCAAAATTAAAATTCGGACACCCTATAAAGTATATATATGATCAGCGTGAAAAGCTGAATCGACCTTGGCATGTCCGTACACTGTCCTTCTGTCTGTCAATATGTAGACGAATTAGTATCCCAATTTTTGAGATTCTCAAATGTTGCACAGGTGCTTTTCCTTCGCACAACTATAACATATAGCTACCATACAAACTGAGCGATCCAACTCAAGTTCTTGTAAGGAGAACTCCATTATTTAGCAAGGTATATTCACAAAATTTTGCATGCATTATCCAAGGCAAAAATGCAATCTCCGAATATCTGCCATACAAACTGAAAGATAAAAATCAAGATATTGTAAGACAACTTGAGCCTTTGCAGGGTAAAGAGCTTCGTTTTAGTTCAAGTTAACATTTTTTCTCGTTTTTAATTAATTATTAAAGCAATAAAAATGAAATGATTTTTCCAAAAACAAAAAACCAGTCAGTCTTCATGTAATTATGTAATCATAATCCCCGTTTTACGAAATCATTTTAAATTCCACACATTTAATCGTAGTTACAGCATCAATTATTCACGCCTACATGTTTTCCAACTTTTCTTACAAACATATACAATACATATATTATAATCTGTACAGCGATCATTAAATGTTTTCTTTACCCCACTTTACTGTTATGGCATTTTCTTCGAACGGAGAGAAAACAAACATAAAGAAAAACGCCACAGCAATCACCATTTACAAGCCGGATTTCTTCAAATGCTCGAAACATAAAAACGCTTATCAATTCAAAAGCGAAAAGTGGAAGGAAACATTAACACAACAACAACAAAGTCGTTATAAAAGTAAAGAGAAGGCACATACAGACGAACACACATAAAGTAAAGCGTGTAAGTAGTCCAAAAAGGCAAATGGTAAAATAAAACAATTTTTGCTTCAACGGAAGTGCTTATTTGTAGTTACTCGAAATGAATGACTTCAAATCTTCAAACATTCAATTCTGCTTCCGAACTTTTTATTCACTGCGCCTTCGCTATGCGATTGGACTTCTTGTGGCGCTTTATTACTCAGCTTAGTTTGGAAGCGCTGTGTCGTACGTGGAGCAGCTGTATGTTGCGAGCGCTACAAGAAGAATTACTGATAGCTACGGAGCTCTCATTTATAATTTTACATGTTGATTAAATAACATGGACTTGATAAGTAATTAGCAAAAGAGAAGGCGAATAAGAAGTAAAACTTATCATAATTTTCTACAAGGTATCTTTTTACAGGTTAGGTAATGTTTAGAAGCTTAAAAGCTTTGAAAAAAAAATAATGTGTGGATTTTACGCTTTTTTTTAAGTAAAGCGGATAATCAATTTTACAGATTTTAGAAGCAATCTATTTCAAATGGAGCTTTTTAAAACTTTACAGTTTATCAGTTAAATTTTTTAAAAAAAGTGAAAGCTTTCAGTTTGGTTTTTGAAGAAAACGCGATTTATTTATAAGAATGCTATAGATTTTAAGAACTATGCTTTTTCATAAAGCTTTCTAAAGCTTTAAAGTTTTTCAGTGACATTTTTCGAAAAAAGTGGAAGTTTTTTGTTTCGTACTATACAGCTTTCTTATTCACTTCAGCAAAGCTAAGATTCCATTGATAAGAGAAAGCTTCTTTCCACCTTTCGTGCACAAATCGAAACAAAACTCTTACTGAACTTTTGAGCTTTCACGATAATTAGCTTAAATAACAACTGAGAGCGAAAAGTAACTTTTAGAACATAAGTTCTTTATGTTTCGGTTGACAAGAATAACGCAACAGGTAAAACTCAGTGGTATTTTTTTTAGAAAACGCTCTAAACTATGGCAGCTGTGAAAATTTTCAAAATAATTCAGATAAAAAACTTTCACTATAAACTTTTATGCAGTCTAAACTTATTTGGTGTAAAAAATATATCAAAATTATGCAAAATAAAGAATTATAATCGAACAGTATTAATATTTAAGTTCAGAATTTCTAAAAAAAAGATAATAATTTTCGATAATCTTCCAAAACACTTCAGATTGTATGAATTCTCTTTGAAAGAGCGTAAAATATGCGATTAAATATTCACAAAAATCACTAAAGCTTTAGAGTAAATAGAAGTTTTGCATAGTTTTTCTTCCCCAATACTCTTGAATTAGAAAGATAATCAGTAAATCGTGTACAAATGACACGAAAACTGAACTTTTCGCGTTCGCGTCAAGTCAAATCCTCGAGCGTTCACTGAAATCACCGAAACTTTCACTTAAATGCATACGTCTGCTGCATGAATTTAAATACAGTATTAGAAGTTAGCAATCATTCAAAACTTTTATTAAATATTTAAAAAAGCGTTCACTGTCAAAACTACCAAAGCTTTCACTTGCGCTATAACTTATTTAAGCAGCTGCAGGGCCCTCACAGTGTCACTACTGACCGTCACTCTCACCAAAAACTTAAGTGTCTGCCATTTTTTCGTGAATTCACTAAGGGCTTGTTGTTGCGAAAACTTTTACAGCTACTGTTGTTCTTATTAGTACCATTGTATTTGCGCTTGCTACCAGTCATTTGCTAGCTATCTTTATAGGTTTTTCTTTAGAAGTTCGTGCGCTGCTTTATCGCCTACTATCCACAATTGCCTTTACATTTTAGGGTCCATTGTTTTGCTGGATTACCAGCGCGCAAAATTCTTAAGCAAAATTCATCATTGTTGTACATACAACCGATTTGACAACGTAGTGCAGCGGCATTGAATTCATTGGCGTGCGTCTCTACACATTTATTCCACTTCTTGGTTGTTGTTATACCCCAAACAGGGTATATCAAGTTTGCCACGCAGTTTATAATACCCAGAAGGGAGCGTTGGAGACCCTATAAAGTCTATATATAAAAGATCAGTGTGACGAGCTGGTTCGATTTACTCATGTCCGTCTGTATATACGCAAAATAGTCCCTCATTTTTTGAGATTTTAACCTAAAAAGCTACTAATTTTTCGGAATCAGCAATATCGGACTATTACAGCATATTTTTACTTACAAACATTTTTTTATTTGAAAAGTTATCGTCATGAATTTCAGTACAAATTATTCTGCAAAATAGTGCTACAATTTTAAAATAAATTGTTCAGATCGGACCACAATAGCATATAACTGCCATACAAACTGACTTATCAAAATAAAGCTAAAGATGTGTTTATATGCTTTATGTCATAAGAAATGTATCCGTAAAGGGTATTATAGCTTCGCTGGAGCCGAAGTTAACTTTGTTTTTTATTTTTATTTATTATTATTTGTTTTTGCATCCACTAGCTTCCAAAAACTTTTACTACAGCCTACCTCAACCTCTCTCTATATATATAGATATATCTATATATTATATACAAATATTGTATACGTATACATATGTATTACAAGTATATACTAACATACTTTTTAGCGCTTTGCTGTTGTTACCCTCTGTACATTTTATTATAGCTGATTTTGTAGGCGCTAGTCTTAATGCTATCACAATTCTTTCTTCAGATTTGT